ATTTTTCATTCCCGATATTATATTCAAAGTGAAATTTCTCTTTTTAATTGCTCTACATCATGACGGCACTTTACGTTTGTTCGTTATTATCATAACTAAAAATATGAAATATCATTAGTTACTACCTAAACATTAATTAAAACATTTCAACGTGGTAAATACTTACAGTAAATTTAGACCATCGAGAGCCACGACTACAACTTCATCATTAAAGTTTGATACTAAAGATGAGATAAAAACAGACAAAGCATTGTAACTTAATCTTGTTGATCTTGTGTTTGCTGTAGGTCTTTTATAAAGATCGATACTATCGGTAGGTGGCAGTGGATCATGTGATAGCACAGACCCATTGTTTTGTACCTATAAAATATATGGAAAAGAATGTAATAGAATTACATATTGTACAAAACAGTTATGCAAAGTTTCTTATACCTCTGGAACGTTTACAGTAACGTCTTTTATATCGGACAATATAATGTGCCTTAAAACATTTTTTGGCAATAAACCATGATACTGTACACTTCGTTTTCGTTCACAATATTTTATATAAACATCTTTACTGTCGACTCGATTTAATACAGCATGCACATTTTCACGTAACCATGGCAAAAGATCTGCATCTGTCCATAAACGAAAACTACGTGCCACATAATGCTGCTCTAATTTTTCTAAAGCTGGTATGGTCGAAGCCTTATTTTTAAAAAACTCATGATTCCGTACCTGTAAAGTTATTCGTTTGAGTATTCAACTTTTAACAAAAACATTTTATTATTACGAAGATACCTTTTCGTCGGTTTGTATACTGCACTTATTCAACAAGAGCATTAGAACTTCTGGAAACATTAGTAAAGCGTCCTGTAAAAGTACACTGGCGAATGTTTCATCACCCAAATGAAAATACGCTAACGCTAAGCTGTATGCTATATTCGGCAGTTGCGTCAGATGCGTTGTACCATCCCAAAGGTCACAAAATTCTATAAACCATTCATATTCTTTTGCTCTTAAAGCATAATAGTCGATAGTAAGGACCACAGCTAGCGGATCACGTTCTGGATCAAGCGATAAAAGTAATTTACAAAATTCCAAACTAGTTCTGAAATATAAAATTTCGTATATAAATATAAATGCAAGGATGAAATCAATACAAGCATGTTGTCTTTTTACCTATAACAAGCACGTCCGCCGACAAAATTCATGTGCTTGAACAGAGTGATGAATAAAGCACGATTCTGTTGTTTCCTATAGTCTAGCCTACTGAGACCAGTTGTAACATTAAACAAGGGATGAAAAGCGCATTCCAAGCAATATAATGCTCGTTCTGTGAATTCTGCAGCCATTGCCAAATCTTCGTTGAGTTCACAAAGCTCTGCTAATTGTAACAGCGCGTCAACATGATAAGAATGCGCATTTATTATATTCTGAAACACAGTAAATTTGTTTCATTAGTTTCAATACACCTTTAAAAACTTGAAAAGAAAGTAGTATGACTTACAACAATATTTTCAGGATTTAAACTTTCAACAGCTTCTAAGAATTTTAATTGAACCTGTCTATACGATGGACCATGTTCGTATACAAAATATTGAACGTTACCAGTAGCTGTCATAGTATGATCCAGTGACATAGAAAGACCAGATTTGTTGATCGGTGGCCAATTGTCTCTGGCCGATACTAACCAAGTTTTCTTCAAATGACCTGAACGAGGCCTATTTCTTCTGTTACTATTAACATTATAATTCGATTATATTTATATATTCAATAAGTTTATAATTATACATGAAGTAGATATTGCCATACATACTTCTGTTCAGCTTGTACTGTTTTACTACCAAATATTCTTTTAAGTTCATTGTATGGATTTAAATGTTTATGCTGCACCAGCAAAATATCTTCTTTAGATCGTTGTTCTATCCACTGTTTTTTATTTGTGTCTTGAGAACTACAACCTGGATGTGGTTCTCCAAGTAGTTCATTCACTTCCCTTATGCACCTTTCGATCTCATCTGTGGGTTCTTGGGGAGTAGAAACTTCTATGTCTGTTTTCTTTTGCTTTGTCTTCCTCTTTTTACGTTTAACCTCAACTTTAGTATCTTCTTCAACAACTTGTTGTTCTTCGTTTTCTTTTTCTGTAGTTTCAGAATCTTGATCTAACTGAAAAAGAAAGCACGATACATCGAATGGTACCTTAGGATTGACGAAATAGAATAGATCAAAACAGTTGGATAACCAAGAAGGTCAATATGTGCGCAAAGAAAAAAATCGTTAAAAACTTTTTTAAAAGTGACAAACTTACTAAATCAAATAAATTGAATGTCTTGGATTTTACATCACGTATCATTAAATTCTCTGCTTCGCTCTCGCTTTCACTATCTTTCTCTGGTAATGCATCACCTCCGTATACTTTTTTCATATATCGTGTAGACATATTTAATGGAATTAGGTGTCAATATGGTCGAAATTGCGTAATAAATATTTAATTTTAAAGTAATAAGCTTCAATCACTAGTTTTCTTCCGAATTCCTTAAATTCTCTTTGAAATATAAACTTTCGCCACTTGTCAATTTTCTTACACAAGCACGTATTCCTACGATCACGGACACAGTCACTATAATGACATAGATGTTCGAAACCGTGCTATTTGCTATTCTGTACTGATTGTACGTATGCATGTAATGTACATACAATACAGTATATATAATATAGTAATACCTCAAGTTTTGCAAAATTTTTTGGCCGCAATGCGCTCCGTTAGAGAGAATAGGAGTAGAAATTGTTTTGTTCTGACTAGCTAACGATTCAATGCTAATACAGGTTTCACTTCGGATTGGATGCGCAGTAAAGTGGTGGGGATGTACACGCCAGCTTAAGAAGTAAGAAAAGCGTGCAGGAGTAGGTCTCATTACAGTACCTTCAGGTTTTACACGATTTTTTTACCTCTCTTTAGCTTCTGCAAATATGCCCACCATTTTACTATGCATCCAATCTGCAGTGAATCCTGTCTTAGCATTGAATCGTCAGCCAATCAGAGCAAAGCACTTCTCATTTTCGCTAATAGAACTGAAATGTATTTTCATTCATTTCTTCTGGTTGTAACTCTTCTATTTCATTATTTGCATCAAAATTTTAGTATACAGGTTCTCCCAAAATTATTGTACAAGCGGGAAATGCGGGGTTCCTGAGGTCATTCGAAGTAACTTTTTCCTGAGTGAAAATGCAATCCGCGGCTTCGTTTACGAGTTATTAACGAAAAACAGTGGCCAATGAGAGGCGAGATCAGCTGGCACGAGCCAAAATGAACTTACGTCACTTTCATGATAAGTGGTGTATGTATATCGAAATAAACACATATATCAATTTATCCTAACCAATTATAAAGTTATTGTGAAGATATGTTCATTAAAAAGTCTGTAGATCTACGGATCTTTCAATTTGCGGAATTCTACAGAATTTTTATCAAGAACTTGGATTGGTAACACTGCTAGAGAACATTATACATATATGTGTTACGTCTTTTAATTCGAGAACTTTTTCTTCACCCAATTCAAGAACCTTTCTATCCCCACCATTCTACTGCGCATCCACCTAGTCCGTCACACTTTACTATGACTCATTTCGTATGTGGTTGTGCTGATGTCGTGCTATCTTGCTCACTCGCTGTTTCCTGTCTTTGTCATTGACTATGAGGGCAGCACTGTTCAGCTGTGAATCGTCAACCAATCAGAGCACAGCAATTCGCTACGTTCTCTCAATTCGAGAGCCTCGTTGCTCCTGGATATGGTTCTTGAATTGATGCTATGTATGCATGTATTGTATGCGCAAGTACTGCCAATATTCGTACAATTTACAAAGTTGTCGATTGCTGGACAGATTTTGAATTTGACAGGCAGACGTGTACGGCCGTGTGTGTCGTGTACATTGGAGATTGGTGACTGCTACAAGCCACGTGGACCACAATACTGTTGAAACCCTCTACTAAAGTATGACATTTTCTGCTGCTTGAATGAGACGGAATAACAAAATATCTTATAGCTGTTTTGGTTAATAATGAAATGTTTCAATTAGAGATATAACATTATGCTATTTGTCGAAAGGTGACGCCACGACAATCCACGAAACAAAAAAATTGTCTTCCATACTGTATCATATTATTCATTTAATCGAACAAATTTCTACAGTCAAAATGAATTTAAGGAATATTAAAGATAAACTAAAGGATGAAACGTTGGATCTTAGTTTATGCGACCTGAAAGAAGTGCCTGTTCGAGAAATCGTAAGTAAATTTAATTAATATACACAGACGTGTAACAAGAGTATGGAAAACGGTACAGCAAATCCTAAAATAATCCATGAATTTTTATTTTGCAGGCAACTGTCAAGAAAGCAACACATTTAGATTTATCAAACAATTTATTAGTTTCCTTGCCTGTAAGTGTTGGTATCTACAGATATGATTTCTTAACATACAGTAGTTTTAATCGACGAATCATTTGTTTCAGAATACCTTTGTTACCCTTAAGCAAATAATTAAGTTAGATCTCAGTAGAAACATGTTAACAGAGATTCCTGAGAATTTTGGAGAACTAAAACAACTGCGGCATTTAGATCTATATGCGAATCAGGTAAATTCAATATGATATAACTATTTAGTAGTTCATCGATACTAAGAAGAATTATTTTATAGATAAGCAGATTACCACTTAGCTTGAGCGAACTGAAGAATTTAAGATGGCTGGATTTGAAGGAGAATCCTTTAACTCCGGCAGTGGCTAGCATAGCTGGCCCCTGCAGCAATTTAAGCGAATGTCAAGCCTGTGCCCGCAACGTTGTCATGTATCTGTCAAGCGTCAAACTCAAAATTGAAGAGGAGAAGTTACGAAGATTAAACGCTGTCACAAGTAATATTTCTCAATGGCAACAAAATCTGAAATCTTTTAACGCCATTTCACGAATATTAATAACGTTTTTATCGTTAATAGGTACAGAAAACGATAGCTTACTGCCAAAGAAAGTTGGAAAAAAGAAAAAGAAGAAACTGGCAGGGAAGGAGAATAGAGAAAGCTTAGATAAAAGTAGACATCGGTCTTCAAGCAACGAATTTCAAATAGAAACGAATAAAATTGAATTGCCGGCGATGATAGAAAATGATCTGTACGCCGATAAAAAACCTGCGACCAAAGGTGAATATGTTTAGAGTCGATTTCATTCCATTACCTCTGTCGTTATAGCCGCAATAATTCTAATAAAATTGTAATGTTTTTTAGGCAAATCCACGGTGGTACGACTTTTCCTTTTGAGTTTTATTATTGCCATTCTGACGATAGTAGTGCTACCAATGTATTCGGAGCAATGCGACGCACTCGTAAACTATGCAGAAAGGAATACTGGTATACCTTTGAAAGCGTTTCAGGAACAGAGTATTGACATGTATCGTTCCTCTGTACGGACTGCGATTAACTGGACCGAAAGTATTTACAAAGATTTGTACCATGTCTATGAAAACAGCTTCAGGGGAGATGTTGGCGATCTACCAAGTAAATAAACTTACATCGCTTGTCTCGGACTGAACAAGTTACAAGATCGATACGCAAACTTTTGTCTTAAAATATGTTGTGTCGTTCGTATTATTATCATCATTATTATTATGTGAATCAAGGATTCCGTTATTTATTATAAAAAATTAAAAACAATTACATGTACGAAAGTCTTTCGTGCAACGGAACAGTTTCTTTTTATCGAAACAATTATATGTATGTATTAGTCTTGAATCTTTGGTTCGCGTAGATCTTCGTTACGATTCTATTTGAAAAATGAGAAAATTCGAAGCGATTACGCCCACGTACGGCGATCATAGAATCGAACTGTTACCGTTACGCGTTGTCGGTAGCATTCGTTCTGTTGGACAGCGTCGTTGACGTCGTTTTAACGGATGCCTTACCGAGAGAGTTCTCCATTTTGCTGATTAATTTCTTGAAAGAGTTCATTCGAGTCTGGGCTAAATCGTCCGTGGTTTCCGTTCCATTCGAGGTTTGAGTCGTATTCGTTTCTTCAACTGTAATAGAATCTACCGGTTTCGACCTTTTCCCACCAACGAATCGATTCCAGGATCTTTTCTCTGGACTAGCTTGCGCTCTCGTAGTTTGTTCGCCGTCTCTGCTGTTCCGAAATTCTTTCTGTCGAGCCGTAAATTCCGCGAGTATTGCAATGTCGTCGTAGAGTTCCTCCTGTTGATCGGCGGGGTATTCACGGTGATTCGAGTTCGGGCGAGGCGTTTGATAGTGTTCGATTTCTTTGAACGACGCTTGGGACTTCGGTCGGTCGATACCGTCGCCTGGTACGGAGGTATCGAGTTTCCGTCGAACAGTCTCCCCGACATGATTCGATTTCCCGGAGGATTCCTAATAATTGATCGAGAAACAAGGAATAAAGATGGAAACGGTTAAGTGTCAATAATGAAAAAGTAATCAACAGAAGAGCTTTCTCACCACGACACGGTGTAGTTGCCGCTTGTCTTGCTCTTCGTAGTTTCTTCGACAGCAGCTTACATCGTCGTAAAGTCCTTCTTGATAGATCGCGATTGCGTCCGCAACAGGAGGAGGATGCGTGTAAATCGGTTTAGGCGGTGGCGGGAAATTGTACTCAGATTCATTTTCTTCCGTTTCTTTTCTTTTCTCTTCCTCCGAAAGAATGGTTCGTTTAATCTGTTGTGAATCGATCAAATCGCTTACGTCGTCGTAAGTGGACAAGCGTTCGGTGTCTACGGTCGATGGCGCTACAACTTTGCCTTTCGTTTTCTTTTCGGTTTTTCGCGGGGATTCCTTCAGGCTTCGCATACGATCTAAAAAGGACTTCTTCTGCGGCGACTTCATCGATTCTTCCACTTTATGGGCTGTTGGCCGCCGCAGTACCGGTTTCGACAGCAGACTCTGTGGATACGGAAATTGAATGAAATAAATATATAATATAAATAAATAATATAATATATATATATAATATAATATTATTATTATATTATTATTATATAATTATATTATATATAATAATATATATATATATATATATATATATATATATATATATATATATTAATTATTATAATATATATTATATATTATTATTATATATAAATATATAATATAATATAATAATGAAATAAATAAATTTATCGAAATCGGTTAAGGATACTCCGGGAACATAATTACCTCGACGTCGTCGTAAGACTCGTCTTGTCCATTGATATGCGCGGCGTTATCGTCGGTTGACGCGGGTACAAGAGAACCGGCGCCGCTACCGATGTCGTTCTTATTCCCCGAATTTTTTTTCGGTCTTCCACCCAACGCACTCGAATCTTTTTTACTCGAGGTAACGCCGTTGCAAATTGAAAGTTGATTCCCTTGAGCATCGTTGGTGCAAGTGTCGTGGATCGTGTTTTTAGCTGACCCTATGTTACCGTAGCAGGGTTTGTCCGTCGTCGACTTGTTTCTGAAGTCTTCGATTTTATGATAGATCTCGTCCTCTTCTTCGTTCTGTGGCACATAGGACGGGGAGTTCGACGAACCGCTGACAGGCAGAGACGGCAGCCTTCGTGGGATTCGCGCAGGTAACGGAGGACCAGAGAAAAACACGGGAGAAGCAGGAAGAGCAGCAGGCATCGTGGACGAAGGAAAATTGGCGAGATCCGCGTGCGTGCTCTTCGATGGGTCGACCAGTTGTTCGTCGGCATTGGTAGCGGCAAAGTATCCATCGATCTCCGTCTCTTGTCCGTCGATGCTGAAACATCCTACGTCTTGGTATTGTTCCTCTTTACGATCGGGATCGAGGTTTATACTCGAGCGAGCCTCGATTTCCGGGGGGACGGCCGCCGAAACTTTCGTAAGTTCCGTGATTTCGTCCCTTCCGTCAATGTTCAATTCGCAGATCTTCGCCACCCACTGTTGCATGTCCTTCGGTGTTCTGGCAACAAACTGAAACAATCACGATCAATCACAGAAGTTATCTTGCTATACTTGCTCCACATATATGTTGGTATGCATCTACTTTATCGTTTCGAAGCTGGAAGGTCGTTCACCTGGTAGGTCCTGCTGCCGGGAGAAAAGATTTCGAAGGTGGACTCGCTTCTTCGTTGATCAGCGTTCGGTGCAGCCCGAGCCATGTAATTATGAAGAGGTAAAATCATGTGCGGTCGATTGTCTCGATCGTTTCCATAGATCAGTAGATGCGATCCTATCATAGCTACAGCAGACAGGAGTCAATAATTGTTACAATTCCAGTAGTTTTCGTTTTTGTTTCCGATCGAGTCACTTACCAACCCAGCACATTCGATACGGTTCAAAAAGGAACAGAATCTTTCCGTCCTTTCTGTAAAGCGGACCGCATTTTCGGCATTTACTTTTGGTCTCGGCCGCCGGAATATTCGCGTAAATCTCTATCAGCGTATTCTCAATCTTCTCATCTTTGTCCCGGGGGGAAACGGAGGGGGCAACAGAGGAGGCGGTGGCCGCAGCCGCCGCATGATTCGCTTCGACCGTTTGGAAGCTCTCGTAATAATCGTGTTGCTGCTTTTGTTTCTGCGGCTCCTCCGCTCCCACGTATTCCTCGAGCTCGCCTTCCTTCTCGATGGCCGGCATCAAACCTTTCGGCGCGACTGGAGTCATGTTCAAATACGGTTCAGGAGATGATCGTGTCCCGAATTTCTTGATCATGAAAGTTGTCAGAGACTGCTTCGAACGTGTCAGCAGATTGTTCCGGAGATTCTCCAACGTGACCGGAAGCTTGATTTCGTGCAGGCATTCCAAAAACTGCACCAATTCTGCGAACAAAGGGCGTTACCTCCTTTATACTTCGAAATTTAACTGTACGCGCGATCGGTCGTTCCACGAGTCACGCTTGCATCAATTTTCTCGATCTCCGATTATCTGTGCTCAATTGGTACCGAGACTGCGCAGGTGATAAGCTGTTACTATAGCTTTACTACTATTGCTACTACTATTGCTTACTATTTATTATTTAATAACACAATTAGATATCAAAGTTCTCGTGAAAACATATAAAGTTCTATAGGGCTCGGCGTAAAGAAGTTTATACGACCCTAAATTCTCCACAGATATACGTGTGTAGCTAAAAATTAGGCAGATTCGATACAGCTATTATTAAAAGTATTAAGAGCGAGGAGAACGTCGCAGACAAATCGTTTAAATTATAGGAAAGTTAGGCCAACCTTTAAGGTAACGTATGTCATGATCATTGGATGCGGAGATGATTCCCTTAAACTGCATACGTATTTACAGGAAAGGGTATCGAGACACTTACCTCGAAGTATTCCGGTAAGCTCGCGATCGAAATCCATGGTCGCGTGTTTCGTTTGAACGGTTTGCATAATCGCCGCGACAACTGTGCACGGCGAAATGCCGAAATCGGCCGATATTTGCCGAACGAAATTAAACGATTTTTCTAGAAGAAGTCCGTGTCAGGCGGTTACGATTGCTCATCGAGCGTGCTATAATCGTGCAGGATGCGGTGACAGATACGCGGCCGATAAGAAAACATTCTATGCACGAAGCGTCACGGAAGAGGCGCATCGAATGAACGATGTAATTGCACGTCGAGAATCTTTGGCGCAGCACTTTTACTTTCGGAAAGCGTTCGCATCGACGCGCCCCGAAGCAGCGCGGCGCGATCACGATCTGCGATCGATCGATCCTTTCGATTACTCTCGACGACGAAACGGATTTTTCATCTCGGGGCGCGACGTCCGATCGAGCCGCGACGAGATCAGAGTTTTCATGATTCGATACTTCCGAGTCTTATCCACTGGTTCCGTGCACCGATCGTTCACTGGGGGGTTTTTCACAGTTTCCGTTTCCGTCGGGGCAAACGATCGAGGGGCGACGCCGCCGCAAAGGGAAGGCGACTGGCGAGAATGCTTCTGTCTCGTTAAAATTCAAGTAGCACCGCGGTGCGCGGCACGTGGGAGCAGCGGAAGACAGACGATTCGAGTCGCGACGAGTCGCGTCGAATCGCGTCGAGTCCACTCGACCGACTCCCGCAAAGACTGTTGTCGTCGCTGTCGCTCCGCCCCGAAATCTATGGTCTCACCGTCTCGCCTATCGCACCAACTGGACGGCTGACTCACTCTGTTCGGACGTACGTATGTATTTCTCTCCGCGACGATGATTCCTCTCTTTCTCTCGAAGGCTTGGTCGCGGCCGCCCGTGCTCACGTAACCCGAAGCGACGTTTTAATTGATCATTCCAATTGACGGACTCAAGAGACCACCGAGAAACAAACAGGCGGTTTGCATTCCATCGTCCGGTTCGCGCTTCGGAGGTCTTTTAAAACACGCGAGCAAACCGACTCACGGTTGCAGTCGAGAAAAGATTTATTAAACGAATAATTCTGCCTCGACGAACCATCGAGTATCAATGAGTTTGCCACGGGACTTTGCCTCGCGACTTCTCTAATGGCTTCGAATATACGTGCGTCCCGATTTCCGTCAGGTCCGGCGGCGGATCGGCTTTGGCCTCTTCCAATTCTTGGTCCACTTGCTTCCACGTTGCCTTTCGCATCTCCTGCTTCGAAAAGGGAAAACAAATTGATGCGCGATGCTAGAGAGCAGCCGAGAAGAATGTGAAAAATAGTGAACGAAAAGATACTCGCTTCGAGCTCCTCTTGGGTTTTCAAGCCGTTTTGAACGATCAGCTTGTGAAGATTCGTAATAGGATCCGCTTCTGTCTGAATCTGCTTGACTTCGTCTCTGCTGCGGTAAGAGATCCCCGGGTCGCTCATGCTGTGTCCGAAGTATCGATACGTGTCCATTTCCAGAATGATCGGACCGTTTCGAAGGGCGTAGTCTCCGGCGAATTTCACCGCTTCGTGTACATCGAGTATATGCATCCCGTCCACCTGAATTTGGGTTTTAACGGTGTTTTAACCTTTTAGGTACGGCTGAATTCTGCGCGAGGCTATTTCTCTGGACGACAGAGTCTGATACAGTATATACAAAGGGTGTCCCAAAAATGTCTCGCAATCCAAAAGTGGCGGGCCATTTCGTCGAAATGCTCAGGCCATCCGAAGCAACTTCTTCCTTTACAAAAATTTTCTCCGAGGCACCGTTAACGAGTTATCAACGAAAAACAGTGACCAATGAGAGGCGAGCTCAGCTGGCGCGAGGCGATCGAGCCAATGAGCGGAACTGGGCTTCGCGCGCTGGTTGGCTGGGCCGTCTCGCGTCAGCCGTACTCGATTCTTATTGGTCACTGTTTTTCGTTGATAACTCGTTAACGGTGCCTCGGAGAAAATTTTTGTAAAGGAAAAAGTTGCTTCAAATGATCCGAGGAACCCGCTATTTCCGGATTGCGAGACATTTTTGGGACACCCTGTAGACTGTTGTAAATCGATGCGAAGACAAAAAAGTAGTGTGAAACAATGCATACGAAGACGATTATTTGGTTCAAACGATGAGCGAGCGAGCTACTAGAGCAAGCCACTATAGTGGCGCGTTGTTCGGAGAGATGATATCCGCGAAAGCCACCATAGTGGCGTGTCGTTCTGAAAGATGATATCCGCGAAAGCCACTATAGTGGCGCGTCGTGCCTAAGAGGTTAACAATCACGCGACTTCGGGGGGTTGCGCCGTGCGAGATACCGATCGAGATACCTTTACGCCTGGAATCAAATCTCCCCTCGTGTAAAATGCCGTGTTCGCCGAGTGCCGGTGCGCCGCTGTTCCCATCGCGTACTGGTTGTTCTCACAAATGTAGACCACCGGCAGGTTCCAGAGTTTCGACATGTTGTACGCCTCGTAGATTTGACCCTGGGACGCGGCGCCATCGCCGTAGAGCACCCACGCGACTCCTCCGCTGCCTTTGTATTTGTGCGCGAACGCTAATCCGACGCCGATCGGCACCTGGCCGCCGACGATCCCATCTCCGCCGTAGAATCTTGGCGCGTACATGTGCATCGAACCACCTTTGCCTTGCGAAGCACCGGTTCGTCGACCCATCAATTCCGCGAGAACTTGTCGCGCCGACAGACCGAAACATATCCCGAATCCGTGACATCTGTAAGCCGTTATCAGGCTATCGGATTCTTTCATCGCCATCGTCATCCCCACAGCTACCGCCTCCTGTAAACCGCTTTACACTGCACCGCGCTATTTGGCTCTGCTTAACTCAGGTTCGGTCCTGGTCGAGTCGTGTAAATGTAGGTATTACCGCGGACGTCCTAAATACTGCGGTACTTTATAAAAGTAATAAAACCTAACATTTTATAATGTGTAATCTCCTGTAAATGAATCTCATCATTCTTTATATGTTTAATATCGATAACTTGTGACGTACAAGTAACAGCAATCGCAGTTTTAATTTGTTTATCGACGTCGAGTCTTATGAAATACTTGTAGTTGCAGCTGTGAACGCTGATTCGAAAGGCATTTATATTTTAGTAATTAATAATAAACTATTCATTTTATCGTTATTTTTAGATACAGTAATCATTACTTTGATAAAATATCGACGTACACTGTCACTATCGTTACACAAACATTATTTACTAACACAGTGTTTGGCGAATAGTTTTTTACTGTGTGCGTACATCACTGCGGTGCTTTATCGAACTGCGTACCTTCACTCTTATAGCGCAGTTCTCAATGAGCCGGTGTAAACACACTTGATCGTAGAGTACCTATATATAGCTAATTTGTAAAATGCTACAGTGAGAATATCTTGATCTTAGGAATTGTAGTTGTGTGTGTACATTTAACCTTTTAGGTACGGCTGAATACTGCGCGAGGCTATTTCTCTGGACGGCAGAGTCTGATGTGTACTGTACAGAATCTGATTGACTGTAGACTGATTGATCAGTAGACTGTTGTAAATCGATGTGAAGGCAAAAGAAGTGTGAAACAATGCATATGAAGACGATTATTTGGTTCAAACGTTGAGCGAGTGTGCTACTAGAGTAAGCCACTATAGTGGCGCGTCGTCCAGAGAGATGACATCCGCGAAAGCCACTATAGTGGCGCGTCGGGCCTAAAAGGTTAAAAGAATAAGAATTTGGTACGCAATAATCGGAACGTCCGCAGTGTTTGGCTCGCAGTAATATACATATGCATAAGATGGTTTCTTCACGTTACACTTTTTAATGAAATTTGTGCTTTCAGAGATCCAATATTTTAAAAGAAGTAAGTGTTCAAGTTAAAGAATAATAAGTATAAATCAATTTGTCAATTTATTGGCGTAAAAGATCTTATTTTCTCTGTCGAAGTCCGTCTCTATTGAGAAACCGCAGTAACACCTACGCTTACTCTAGTCGGAGATTTGTTTCCTAGGGCAGGCATGAGCGAGTCGCGGCCCGTGGACAAAATCTGGCTCTTCCCCCTCTCTTACGGCTCTCCGTGGGTCGTCCTTCGTACACTCGCGTGACACGAGGGACGATACGACATTTCTTTCTTCCGTGCTCCACGCTGGGCTGCCGTGTTATGTGTAGCAACGCGCATGGAGCAGTAGTAGTGATGCTTGTGGCCCACGGCCGAAATGACTCGCCCATCCACGCCTGTCCTAGGGCGTTACCCGCATCAATTGGTTACCATTTACCTGACCTGAATACAAATGGAGGAAACCATTAATCATCCGCGTTCTATACAATTCCGCGCATTTGCTTTCCATCCGCCTGATATAGTTCATCGTTTTCAGCGCGTGAATTGCTTCCTCTTCGGTTATCGTCGCCTTCGTCGACGGTCCGCTCTCTAATCGATACAGCTCGTATTTCTGAAGGAAGCAGAAACCTCTCGAGTTTTATTCTCTCTTCGAACTGTTAGAATTTTCGGGACGTTACCGTATCGACGGTGATTTCTTTCGCCATTCCCCGAGAAGGAGGCAAAGAAACACGTCGAAGACTCGTATAACCTCGAAATAGTCGGAAACGATGCATTTTTGATGCAAGATCCTTTTAGGTAACCGACTCTTCGATACGAATCGGCCGCGTATTTATCGATCGAGCGTTCGTCCACCGATCCTACGTCGCATGATTCAACGACTCTTCCGCCAATTTTTCTTTCAGAAAGAACCTAGAAACGAGTCTCGTGTTTCCTGTTGTTTCCTTCCGTGCGAAACGTCCTTCGCCTATGCCTCGCGCGAAGTTAGCTACGACACTTGATTCCGATCGTGTATTAACGTATCTTACATTTTTCTCTCTTGGACACGCACGCTATCCCTCTCTCTCTCTCTCTCTCTCACTCTCTCACACACTCTCTCTCTCACTCATTCTCCCTCTCTCTCTCACTCCCTCTCTCTCTCTCTCTCTCTCTTCTCACCTCTTTTTCGCTATGTAAATCCTAATAAATATCTAGCTTATCGTAACACTTGTGTAGGGCGACACTGAGTTATCGTCACACGAACAGAAGGTAGAGATACGAATATTTGAGGATTGCACGCAACGCTGGTCGCGTTCAGTCGCCTGTAACTCGACCTGTAACTTCGAGATAACGAGAATCGTACCTTCAAAAAGTACGCTTCCCCCGAATGCGTCTCGTCCGTTACGACGTAACGAGGAATCCGACGCAAGTTTCGAGAAATAATAAAGTTACACGCATGATCGCAACAGTGACCTTTATTCGATCGTATCAGGTATCAGATCTCGGAGATTGACGAGGAGAAACGCTAACCTTGCGACGATTTTGTCGAGCCGATTTTGCCGATTTCTTAAACACCGATCGCCGTTGCTCTCGGACGGTTTTGTCTTCGCTTTCTTCCGGTTCGTTCAATGGAATGGGTTGCAAGGCTCGGGCCAGGATCGGCGGCCTTAGGACAGTTTTCAACGAGACGGCACGCTCCGTTTCGCCTCTACGCCAGAGAAAAACGGACGCGTCGAACTACTTAACCCTTTCGGTGCGAGCGCCGGATATATCCGGCATCCATCCGATGATCAATATGGACGAGTGTCGAATACATCTGGCATCCATGCAAGCCACATTTCTGACATATTAGAAACTATTCTAATAACCGTTTGAGTCCCAAGCAGCGCTATCATGCTGTTTGGCATTTTTCGACCGTGTTTTCTGAATAATCCCTGGGACTCAAACGGATAAAGTCTTTTCTTACAAGGATTCCGAAGAAACAGCTACAGGTATAATCGTCGTTTGATCTGAATTGATTTAAAAAATTTCAGGTTACATTTTTCTACGAAACTTGTTCATAGATTTTAACACATTCTAGGCCCTTCACAGAATGTTTACAGGAAACAAAAGATTTAGAAACGGACTAAGCACAGTCATTACTTAGCGCTTAAGAAAATCTTCGTACAAAAGTGGACTGACCCTGCGTTATGTGCGCATTTTCGGCGCGGCACCCCGTACAGTGGGAGTGTCACGGCGGACAACGCGCTCGTACCGAAAGGGTTAATGTCGAAATGGGTCGCGTTGCGACTGGATGATATCTTTGTATATATGTACACGCGATCAGCGTTACCGTTTCGAGAAACGAGCAGCGCCCAGTTTCGACCACTCGAACGATCTCCGTGTTGACTTCGAGGTTCTCTCCGTGCTGGACGTTGCTTCTTGCCGGGCTGCATCAACTTCCGAACAAGCCGAATACAGCGAATAGATGGCCCGCAACTCCTGCTAGACCGTAATCCGCGAGAACGTGATCGTGATCGATTCGTTCGGTACGATTACTTGCCTTTCTCTTGAAAAGAGACGTTTCGCTGCGAATATTCGTGTAATGCAAGTTGTCGGCCGGAGTCACTTTGTTCCGGTGGCAGTCAACACGCGAAACTGTCCCCTTCTCACCTGCTGGAGCACCTTTCGCTGCCACCATCTGCCGATGCGCGAAAAATATTGACAGGAAATCACTGTACATGCAACAACGATTCTCGTCTCGACTCTGAATCGTAAATTGAACCGTTTTGCGCTCGCGTCCCTTTATCGCTGGCATTGGAATTTAGAAACGCGACAGAAAGAAATTCCAAATGTGATTTCCGCGGTCGCGATAGTCGGATTCGATGTCAACTAAATGTCGTCGAGAGAAACGTTTACGAGCGTGGTCGCATTCTTCATCCTGTGACGGTAATGACCGCGACCCTGTGTTGCGCGTACCCATGGGTTGTTTTTCTCGTACATAGCCCGTAGCCGCTCCTGCCGCGGACAGACCGGATGTTCGTTCAAGGTTCTCATCAATGAGCAATGCGTGTGCGCGATCAAACGATCCAGCTCGATCTATCGGGACAAAAAAAAAACATACGATCCAATAACCGCGTCGAAGGTTATTGTCGAACGTTTCCCAAAAATACGAGTCTTTCGAAACGTGACAACTCTAATTACTCTTGTATTGGGTTGTCCAGAAAGTTCGTGCCGATTTTCGGTAGGTAGCGTGAGAGACCTGACTGAATATAACACANCAGAAAGTTCGTGCCGATTTTCGGTAGGTAGCGTGAGAGACCTGACTGAATATAACACAATTATTGAAAACAAATGACATGTGTACATATTCTAAAAGAGATAACTTCAGCCATATTTGGGAAAAAGTTTGGTTACGATTTGTTAATTTTTATCAGTTTTGTACGTCTTAGAATATGATGGCAAATAAAGTGCATTATAGGCATTTAATGCTTTTCTTTTTCCGAAAGGGCAAAAATGCCACACAAGTGGCAAATAAGATATGCGCTGTTTATGGCGAGGATGCTGTAGCCGAAAGAACTGTGCGGAAGTGGTTTGCTCGGTTTAAAACTGGAAATTTCGACCTTGACGATCAAGAATGAGAAAATTTTTACCGAAAAACCTGAGAGGTTCTGGAAGGACGGAATTCTCAAGCCGCATGAAAGATGGAGAAAGGTTGTGGAACAGAATGGTACCTATATAATTTAATAAATGTATACCAATATTTAAATGAGCTGCGTTTTAATTTTCCTAAAAAATCGGCACGAACTTTCCGGACAACCCAATACAAATCGGATACCTTATTATCGGATCGACGCTTGGCTCGTTTGCGAGGATTGACGTGCGAGGATGATCCGGTTTGATCGGTCGTGACAGGCTCGCGTTTTTTTTCACGTCGCTCGCGTTCGTTCGGATCGCCGAACAAACCCTTCGATTCCGCCACTTTGATCATAAACAACGAGTCGAATTGCATCATCTCCTTCCTTTTGATCACCGCGAGAAAGCAGCCCGGATCTAACACGTTGCTAATGTTCTTCCCGTAAATATCGTCGATAGTGCCTACCTCGAAAAGATCGCTGTCCGGAACCTTGGAATTCGATCGAAACGTTTAAAACGATCGAACAACCGAACCCAGTTGCGGATTACGGTAATTTCTCCCGGAAATGCGAAATTTCGAGTGTGAAATTTGTGAATTTAGTAATTTATTACTACGTCGATGCTAAGGGTCGACTGAGTCGATTAAGGTTATGTCTGTAAAATTGTGTATATATAATAATAATAAATATTGATAATAAAATAATAATATAATTATTAATAATTATATTAAATTAATTATTTATTAATAAATTAAATTAATTATTATTAATAATAATATTAATAATAAAATACCTAATATTTAGGTGAAAGTCAAGTAAGAACAACCGCGTAGCATGTGGCCTTCGAATTGCCTTCGAACAGTGGCATGCGGTTTCCGAATTGCCTTCGAATAGTGGCATATGGCCTCCGAATTGTCCTCAAATCATGGTAAAAAATTAGAAATAAAAAAATTAAATCATCGTTTTTGTTCTAGCATTGCTATGCATTCATATTAACGTGTACCGGCACGCTGGCCGCTGCCTTTCTTGCCGACTGCCTCGAGTTTTTATAAAAACGAGCCACGAAGCTCGAAGAATCGTGCCTAAGCGCGGCTTGGTATCGTCAAAAAAAAAAAAAAATCCGCGTGTTTCGATTCCGACTTCAAACATTTCTGGGAGAAATTACTGTACTACAATTTCAACGCATGCTTTGTTCGGAAAGGAAAAGCTTACAACAACATTCGGGAAAATTCTATCGTCGTCCCTCTCGTCGTCCGGATGCTCCAATTTGTCAGCGTTTAACTCGCCGCGAGACTCTCCCCCTTCTTTCTGCAGCTTTTTCTTCGACTGAAAGGTAACAATGATGCAGGACCACTCGAAGACCGTATTCCGTCGAAGAGGGGTAGAAGGAGGAGCGATCTTACCGGTTGATCACGCACGTGTCTCGCCACGGCCATTCGATTGGCGTAATCGACTACCCGCCGAATCATTTCTGTGGTCTCCGAAGGTAAAACCGTGTGCGCTTCGTATAAAACGAACTGCACGTTAGGCCTGGTCAACGCGTACTTCAAAGTGGTCATTTGATCAGCCAAGTGCGCGCACGGTGGTTCGATCTCGCGACCGACCTCGTCGTCATCATTGTCGTCTACCGCGACACAAGCGTCCGTCAACGATTCGAGAAGTTCGGCGTCACCGCCGCGCGCCACGGCTAAATCGACGATGTCTCGGACCCCGGTGTAACTGCACGGCGGAATCGCCAGAACCACGGTGGCTCTGTCCAACTCGGCCGTCGCTGGGGGCGATACGTATCTAACCGAAGCGAAATTCTTCGATGTGAAAATTAGATGTAAGAAAGGATCGGACGGCGAGAATATACTTTTCGGAAAACACGCGACATCTCTGCGATGTGACCCCGAGCTCGTTCAAATACGTCTCGTACTCGGCGAGACGTTCGCCAACTCCGAATGCCAGCAGTCGACCAGCGTCTTGAATGTCCTGAAGCAGTTCGGCCAAGTAACCGGTGTGTCGAGGAGCTAGGGGATGCGTCAGAACCACCGGCCCGCAGAAACGACCGACGCGCATCGCTTGCGCCAGAGCAGCCGCTCCCAAGCACAACGATCTCTCCTATTATATATCGAATTGTAATATATTATTATATAATAATATAATATATATATATAATAATATATTATTATATATATATTATATTATTACATAATATATTAATTGTAATATATTCGAAAAAGGTGTCGGTATATTAAATGATAAAAAATGTCTCGCAATTCGGAAATGCAATCCGCAGTTTGTTTACGAATTATTGACGAAAACCGTGACTGATGAGCGGCGAGCTCAATTGGCGCGAGACGACCGAGCCAATGAGTCGAACTGGGCTTCGTGCGCTCATTGGCTGAGCCGCCAGGCGCCCGTCGTCCTCGCCTCTTATTGGTCAGTGTTTTTCGTTAACCTTTTAGGTACGGCTGAATTCTGCGCGAGGCTATTTCTCTGGACGACAGAGTCTCATATGTACTATACAGAGTGTCTGTATATTGTTAAGATACAGTTATATTGTTAACAGTTATATATATAAAATATTGTAAATCGATGTGAAGACAAAAGAAGTGTGAAACAATGCATATGCTGTCTCTTATACACATCTAGATGTGTATAAGAGACAGGTTATATTGTTAACAGTTATATATATAAAATATTGTAAATCGATGTGAAGACAAAAGAAGTGTGAAACAATGCATATGCTGTCTCTTATACACATCTAGATGTGTATAAGAGACAGGTTATATTGTTAACAGTTATATATATAAAATATTGTAAATCGATGTGAAGACAAAAGAAGTGTGAAACAATGCATATGCTGTCTCTTATACACATCTAGATGTGTATAAGAGACAGGTTATATTGTTAACAGTTATATTGTTAACAGTTATATTGTTAACAGTTATATTGTTAACAGTTATATTGCTGTCTCTTATACACATCTAGATGTGTATAAGAGACAGCGAGTGAGCTACTAGAGTAAGCCACTATAGTGGCGCGTCGTTCAGAGAGATGACATCCGCGGAAGCCACTATAGTGGCGCGTTGTGCCTAAAAGGTTAATAACCCGTAAACCAAGCCGCGGATTGCATTTTCGCTAAGGAAAAAGTTACTTCAAATGACGTCGGGAACCATTTCCGGATTTCGAGACGTTGTCGTCTACCGTAATACTCACCAGGAAAACGAACCGATGATCGTGCACCAGACTCGAACGAGCCAAAGTTTCGCGCGCTTCCTCGCGCAGACCGATCATCTTCGGGCAAATCGGATCGAACATGTATCCGGCGTCGCCAAGCTCTGACGCGCCCTCGTCTTCGCAGAGGATCAAATTCAATTTGGACATCTCTTCGTGAAACTCTTCCTTGCTAGTGAACTTGTTGGAATTTATCCATCCGGAAGCGAGCGCGGCAGCCTCGGCTTGTTCACCCCAAGCTACGCCTTCGATGACCCGCAAACGCGTTGGCAACAGCTCGTCTTCGCGTCACGTTTCCAACACCACGGGTACACATTATCTTGTCACGGTACGGATCATCGTATACGATAGTCTAGGTACGATACAGGCATGCACGCGACTCTAGCGCCCTTTTTTTTTATTCATACTTGCATCTTTGCCCGGCAAAACTCCTCCCCAAAAAAATCACCTAAAGCAAACTATCTGTGCTATTCACCGAGACTTAGAGCCGAACCGCGAATACGCTGGCGCGAAAGACTCGCGGCGAGATGGGTTTTCGCCTCCAGCAAAGCCGCTTCGATATCCTTCAATCCGGCATTCTGGATCGAGGAACAAAGAAACGAGGGCAAGATGAAAAACAGATACAGAAAATACTTCCTAATCGACGCTCACAGCTTGTACACAAAACTGGACAATTTGGAAAAAGGAGACTCTACATATACGATTATTCGAGCCTTGTGGGCTCGTTTTTATAGTTACCGATCGTCAAAAGCTATACAAACGAGTCGCAAGGCTCGAATAATCGTACCTCCTCTTCCTAAAAAATGTCCATTTTTGTTTACAAGGTGAAGGAAAATTAGGGAGAATTTACTATATTTCTAATTACAATAATTTCTCTCTAATTCGCGCTTGGATTGCGCACAAAAATGGACAATTTTGGAATAGGAAATATGATTATTCGAACCTCGCGTCTGGTTTTTATAGTCGGCCATTGTCAACAACTAGAAAAACGAGCCCAAATTGTCCATTTTTGTGTGTACAAGCTGCGCGTTAATTTAAGAAGAATTTACTGTACACACAACTGTCATCAGCTTTACCTGAAAAATCTTCTCGCGCTCCTCGACGGCGTCGATCTCGCCACGACTCGAAAATTTCCTTCCTTGCAAGTCGTACAGCAACAACCAGACGATTTTTCGTCGTTGTTTCAACTGGTCGTTGAATCGCCAGAATCCCACCTCCTTCAGAGCACGGCAAAAGATCTTCTTGTCTACGGGGGTGTCCGATGGCGCGCCATGAAAAGACGTAACGCGAAAGAAGCTTAACAAATTCGAAATTACTCCGAGGCGAGCGATCGAGCGGGGAACGTGAACTTACACCTCAGAACATCGTAAACGAGCCCGAACACTCGACGCATCTCAGCCTCGTCCGAATATACGAGAGACTTCGATTCTTTTCGAAGCACCTTCGCGGCCAGAACTATGTCGTTGACACGCCATCCCGGCTTCGCGCAGGCTTCCGTCATCGAACGACCAACACTGATCCTCGATCCTATCCCGGATCCTGTTCTCGATCCTGTTCCCGAATACGTCCTTGAGAATATCGATCCTTCCGTTTCGTCAACCTTGCAAGTTTCTCCGTCTGTCTTGGACGACGAGGATCTAAGGATTCGTGGCTCCCATTCCCAATGGCTAAATACGCGAGATCTTTCCATCGTTTTCCGCTTTCTTTCATCGTCCTGTGCTTCTTCCTTCTCTCTCGTCTTTTCTAGTTCCAAAGACAGCTCGGTCTCGGCAACCCTTCATCGTTGTAACAAGAGCCTCGTTAATTTTCGCGATACCGTTTAATCGATCGCAATCCATCCGACAGCCATTATACGTATACTTACACCTTCATTATTTGCAGACCGGACGTGGATTAATACGAATCATCCCGATTACAACAAGAGACAATAGAAGTGATTCGTATCAAAGGAAACGAAACGAAATCTCGTAAGCGGAAGCTGGAAGTAGCGTTTCATTGCTATCCGAAGTTATGACACCGTGTCGACAAAAAGATAAAACGGATCCCGGCTACCAACGACGGCGACTATATATGTATACTCGAAAGTTCAGACGATCACCGATTTCGAGACTTCGAGACTCTACGGTACACGCGTGCACAGCCGAAGCAAAAGAGATTCGAATTACCTGTTGGTCGTGGTCTCCTTGTCGCATGCTCTTTGCAACTCGACCAATCCGTAGTAAACGCGCTGCCGCCAATCTTCGTTGCTCGGCAAAATCAATTCCTCCGCTTCCTCGTTCAATTTTTCATCGCGAAGTTGCCCGCGGATCGACGTCCACCTTTTAAAAGCAAGTTGCAAAATCTTGACGTAGTCGCCAAGTTTGCCGCTACCGACTCGATCGGAAACTTCGTCGTCTAGTTGGGTTTTCGACATTTCTCGCGATTCGCGGTCTCTCGATTCTCCGCCACAATTTTGTCGATTCTTTCGTAATCTCGGAACAATTAAATCGCGATACTGTAAATCGGTTTATCTGTTATCCGGGTCGAGCAAAATTACTATACCCGTGTCGAGGGTATATGTACATACACGCTACGGCACCGTTGCGCTCGTCCGAACACCGGAGACTGCGAGCTTGCTACACTTGCTACACTTGCTACACCTTCTTCCCTTTCCGAGCCGACCGAAAGTAGGGTTCTACTTCCAATCTTACGGTCGTCGCAACGTCGCGTGCTCCGGTAACATCTTCGACGAAATCACGATCAACCGTCTGTTCGTGGTCAGCCTAGATCCATCCAACGAGCACGGTACCTCGGTCTCCCGAAGTCGCTGCATTATCTTATGGTTACGTGTCCCGTTCGTGCTATACGTCATTTATTCGTACCATTGCATTCTGTAATATGCATATCGTCGACGGAACGGATGCGGCAAAACGTATCGCCAACGGCAGGCAAAGTTTAACGCTTGTTCTACCATGAATCGCTCTTATCGAACAAGATTATAGTGCCGGATTACTATCTTTATAGAAAACTAAAAAGAATCGACGACCAACAAAATAACTTGATGAGTTATTGCCCTCGGATTCTTTGGGATTATTGACTGCTGATTTCTAAGCAAAAATATTTGGCAAATCAAGCCGTACATGAACATTAGTGCTGTTGTGGAGAACATTGCTATGCGTCGCATACAATCATGCAATAATCTATATCTTTATTTTACACGATTTTGTTGCGCCTAGTATTTTACTGCGCTTCACTTACAATATGACAGTGAAAGAATGTTTTGGAAAGAGAATAACGTTAAACGATATATTTCTTTGTTGCGTCAAATGTTCAGTATAAGAATACAAATTTCAAATGTCAACGTCATGTTTATCGGTATCTCGGATATACTCTTTGGTTAGTATATTAATAAACGTTTGTAACTGCAATGTTAGTCGTTTCATTGCTCTTGATAGCACATATAGTCCTTTTGTCGTTGCGATGTTCTCTTTTCAGGGTTTGGTGTTGCTCGATCAATTCATACCTTTGTACTTGCTGAACAAATTATACAAGACCCGCAACGTCGATTTTAAATCTAAATTTACAATGTCTGTGAACAAAATGCAATAGTTTTATTCGCGATGTGTCCCCGTGAAAAAGCGTATATAAGGACGTACCTTCCGGCCGGGCCTTTGGTTTCGGCAACCCAATATCTTGCATAATGTCGAAAGCAAACGAAACATTGTGCACCTTTTGATCATGAGTTTTGGGAGTAAGATGAAAGCTACCGAGGGGCACGAAAAATCCTTCGAGAAGTCCAAGCAAGAGGGTAAGAAATACTCCGTCATGAAATTGCGTATCCAAATCCGTAACTTCCAAGTGTACTTTGCTCAAATGTTTATTAGCGAAGTTGATTAGAGACTGAAGAATAGAACAACGTTACAAATTGTGTGGAGGAAACGCCCATAATCAAATGTAAACATACCTTTTTTACAACGGCCAGTTTATCGGGCGCGTGGTCAAACAGCGCGTCGAAAGCATCAAGCTCGCAACGCATTCCCAAATCATCGTACGTTGATGTAATTTCTTCCCTGATCGTTCTGTGTGTTAATTGGCCATCTTTTTTCCGTACAACGACAACCTGCGCGGCCACCCTTTCCGGTAATCGTACTGGGGCACGAAACTGCCTGGCCAAACCCACCAGGAGATGTAGAATAGCAACAATGTTTTTCGAGTGTACCGATTCCACGCTCCATTTGTAAGGTGGGTAACGACCCAGTACACGATTTGCACTCGATAAAACAACCGCCAATTTTTGTTTCTGACCTTCCTCGGATTGAGTTACTTCGGGTACATCTAATTTCTCCCCTGTCAATTTCTCTGCAAATTCAATCGAATCAATCTATTTTGCAACATATTCATTTCATATTTAACTTATTCGAACACGATCGGGGCGATCGTTTCGAAGTCGAATCTCGAAACATCAGCGTACCTAAAAGCTTCTGTAATACCTGTCCATCGTAAAGATCTTCCGCGATATCTTTTACGATAATCCGTTGATCGGCCAGCTCGTCGTTGATCCATTCGATCAACACGAATATCAGTTCCTTGAGCTTCGAATCTTCCATGGATCTAGGTACCATCATCGAGCGTTCCTCGTTTTCGTCGAGCGCATACTCTTCTGGTGGCATCTCAGGATTAGCCGCGTATCCCGGCGAATCGATAGCATATTTTCCTTCTTCTTGCACTTCTTGCACTAAAATCGAGCAATATTCGTAGGTTTACAATTTCCATGGTCAACTACTTTATTAATACATCGTATTTCATGCCATTAAATCGATTCATGCCATATAAGGAGATTCGCTTCTCGGACACAGAACAGTGTACAAGGTTATGTAGCGACATTAAAGAAAACGTGATATCTGCGATACCTTCTTTGATGCGTTTTTTGCGGCCCAATGTTCCAATTTTATCCCAAAAACTTTCTTCCTTTTCATCCTTTTTTGCAGAAATCGGTGGTCGTGGTGATTTAGGACGTGGGGACGCCATAACGCAACTTCAACTATCAACTGCGGTTTACTCGAACGGAAACGTCATCTCTCAAAATATCAACTTTTAACTTGACCGATCCACTGGTTTGAGGTTTGACGCTTGATTACACATACGCATTCACGATCAAAAACATCTGGCATCAAGAGTTTAAACTCTACCAAGTTTACCGAGTGTCACGCCGTCATGCCCATGAACGAAAATGTTGCACAGTTTTCTTTACAATTCTCCAGAATTGACGTGTAATTACAATATTACTGGTGGTTTTATACGTATAATATGTATGTACAAAACATGTGCTTACGTATGTATGCTCTCTGTACATAATGTATAAACGTAAACAACGCCTTTAATGCCATCTGCAACAAAATACTAAAGCTCGTTGCATATGTTAGTGTATATGTATATATATATAGTACAAGTAGATGTTTTAGTCTATAACGTACAACGATTTGAGGTTAAATAAGAATTAAATTGACCATCAAAATGATGTCGCTAACGAGAAATTTGGAGAATAATATTATTCAAAGATGTTCAAAAATCATAAAACTATCATCATCGTTTTGTACATCGACAGTTACTAATACTGATAAAGGTATTGTAACATTTTCATTCGAATTCTAACCTGGATTGAATAATCATTTTCTCATGATATAGTATGTTGATATATGATAGGAGTATATATTTCCTTCCATATACTCCAATTACATTATTACACTTTCCTCTTCTTTTTTGTTATGTTCGCAATTGCCGACATATACATTGTAGCTATTTCATTGGATTTATCATTAGTTGTATCTTTTATCCTCTTAGCATTATCGTATGCATCTTTTACAGATTTCCGAGTACTGAATTTAATACCAAAAAGGATCAAACATGTGAAGAAAACACAATTTTACAAACAGCTTAGTAAAAAGATTCTACTGAAGGAGGACATAATGCCTACTGATCAAAATTGGCAAGCAATTTGGCCCGTTGCGCGTACATTTCATCCTATAACTGTACCAATTCCACTACGGCAAGGATATAAATATAAGAAGAATGCAAATCCAGAAAAGTACGCGAATGCGGAACTCATGAAAATTCCAAATTTTTTACATCTTACTCCACCAGCGGTTAAAGCACACTGTGAAGAATTAAAACAATTTTGCACAGAATGGCCAATAGGTTTAGAAACAGACGAAGCTTGCGAGAAACATTTTCCAGTTGAAATAATCTCTTCCAATTATTGCTACTCCTCTCCAACGATAAGAGAACCTCTCGCAAGAATAGTGACTTTAAGAGTAAAGCTATCCTCCCTACATTTAGATTATCATGCTAAAGATAAAATACTCAGGTTGGTAGGAGACAGATACAACCCTGAAACGGATATATTAACGATAGTCGCAGATAGATGTCCAACCAGAAAGCAAAATTTGGATTATGTCAACTATCTTTTAACAGCGTTGTATCATGTATCCTGGGTAAGTTATTGCTATTACAAAAAATTCAATATGTAAAGAACTTTTGAAAATTGTGTTGATCATGTCATTTATTGTTTCAGCGAGTCGAACCGTGGGAAAGCCAAAAAGTTGAAGCAGACATGGAGTTTTACGAATGGGATAAAAGCAAAAGCCGAGATAGTTTAGTAACCATATTTTGTTGGCCAAACCCACCAACAGACTCTAATTACGAAAGTATACCGCACGCAACGGAGTACAAAGTCGCAGTATCGGAACTAATTAATAACGGAGAAGATCATTTCACGATCAATAAATACAAACAAGCTGTTAAGAATGTATTAAATCTCAAGCATGAAGAAGATGGAGAATAAACGCCAATATAAGTATGTTATAAACCCTCAGTGTAGTTTTCAATTTTGCTCTTACAATAGATGCAGCTATCTAGAAATTCCGAAATAAATACAACTTTATTAAATGTTTCTACTGCGTTTATTCACATTTTTCTTCAGCATGGGTCGAAAAGTACACCGATGTTGACATTATTAATTTAAACGGATAAAAGTTCAAAAATTCTCACTTATCATAAACACTATAAATTTAATTCATGAATGTGTTTATTACATTTATTACTACATGTTAGAATGAATGAATTGTCACATAACACTATAAATGAACATAGCTTTCTTCTTAGATAAATATGTTAATCGGTAACAGATCTTATTACAAATTTGTTCTTTATTATACTATATAACATACAATCTCTAAGGAAGGCTATACCATTTAATATGAATTTAAATTGAGAAATTCATTTATTATATTTATTCACTTCATACTCAGTCTTTCAAATCATTTATTAAAATACTGTCCACTGGACGCACAGCGTGAATTATGAAGTCTCTTTTATCATAAAAATAGACATATTACAAAATACAACTACATTTCTTCAAATAACGTTGCTTAAGCGTTATTATAAAAATACAAGGCAATACTATACTAATAACTTTTGGACTTATACCGTGATACAAATATAAACTGTTTAGCCAGTTCTCTGCGTAGGTTATTTACTGGCACAAATATAAATAATCATATACATTTCGCGGTATGGTATCAATTACCTACAACCATCGTACTTGAGCTGAAGATGAAGCTGGAGTGGTTCTGTAATAATATAGAATTTTCAGTTATCAGAGATAAAACTTTTCTATGAAAGCTAACGAGGGGTACTATTTGCTATTGCAAGGTCTCTGAGATTTTTTGTCCTTGCCAATTATTTATAATGCGCATTAGTTTAAAGTTGTACATTTTCATAAAACTTCATTCTTATTACAGTTTGTTTCTATTCAACTAACTGTTGAATGTTACAAACAACTGTTCTGAAATTTCCACCCAACTAGATCTGTTTGTGGCCTGTCAGAGTTTTCATACTTACTTTTGCTTTCCATTTGGTTTCTGGTATGGATGTGTTGTCATTAACCCACGCCTTTCCTTTCCTCTCATTACTTTGAAGGCTGCTGCATTTGCATTCACATCCAAACTATCTTTCTTAAGTTTTTCTGCTTTCAATTTATTCAATGCAGCAATACTTCTTGCGCTCATTACAGTGTGCGATTTTTGTTCGCGTTTATTTTCTTTACCTTTAAATGCTATTGTATCTGGCGTATTTTTGCACTTCGGGGATATTTTCTTTTGTTGCTTTATTGGTGTTTTGTTATCTCCAAGATTTTTGTCATCTAAAACCCTTTTTCCCACCTTTTCCCGAATGCAATTACTTCTATTATGTTCTTCTTCAGTATTTGCATTTGTTTTTATTGTATTTTCGTTGAAAATCGTATTTGTATTATCTAACAAAGTAATAGTTGCATTATGGGGGGTATCAAAGACATCATCTGCATTGGGACTGGATGCTTGAAAAGTTGTATTTAAGGTATCTTTGGAGCATTTATCTATATTTTGATCATCCAAAGAATATGTCGTATACGTCGGTGCTTTACTCTTGAGAGGATCTACCAAATCCGATGTACTAAGGAGACAAGTCATGTTGTAAAACTGTTCTTCATGATCGACCGTTTCTGAGTCCGACCATTTGATGTTTTTTACACCTTCCAACGACTTAATTACTCGTTTAAATTCGTCCTGCATCGCATCTGTCATTGCCCCGTTATTACTCATCGCATTGTAATAATTTTGCAATGTTGTACTCAGCATTTTAGTTATCGAATTATTAGATTGCATCTCACATTGTTGGAGATTGCTGATCTTTCGTACATGCTCGTATTGCTGTTGCAATCTAGCCTTTTCTATTTCACAAGTTCTTAAAGCAAGTATATTCCCGAACTTTTCAAGTTTCTGTGACTTGATTTCAGTTTCTAAAATTTGCAACTCTGTTTCGCAAGAGCATAATTCCTTCCATGTTGTCTCTATTTGTACTTTCAAAGAATTTCTTTGTCGTTCAAAGTATTGCAAAGACTTATTCACCCGTAATTTACCGCTAGCGTTATGTTCTTCGGAACTGGTGGTATCGATAGTTGCTGTAAGATTATGCAACCTCTCGTCAGCTGCTTTTTTATATTGAATTCTACAACATAATATTTTATCAGCACTTTCTAAGGACAAGATCTTCTCATTTAGGACTTTCTTTTTCTGAAGTAACTGGATCAATTTATTTTCCATTTCTGTATCTACTTTTGCTTCTTTAGACGTTGACAACGGATCCACTGAACCACTTTCAAAGGCTAGTAGCTTCTGCTTTAAACAACTTATTTCTTTCTTGTGTTCTTCTACCATTTTTATGTACGCTGTTACATGCATTTCGCAAGATATAATATTCTTTTTTATGTGCGTTTTTATTTTCTTTGCCCTGTCTGCATATCGTAAAGTATTATAGGTATCTTCATAACTGAAACTGGAGGGTGCAATGTTAGCTATCATAACTGTCTGACAATTTCCACCTAATGAATCTTTCAATAATCGTGTCAGTTTAGAGTCCCTGTAAGTTATATGTTTAGCACCATCAGCCAAATTGTTGATACAATTTCCAAGAGCTAGTAGAGATTTATTAATGTTTGCACCTTCTTTAAGCCTTGCCCCTTTGCATCCTGTAGCAGAAGCTCTTTCGGATCCAGCCAAATCTATCATAGATAATTTGACTTGCCTTACTTGACCATCTAGTTTGTTGGTAATATTAATGTAAACTTGAAACACAGCATGGCTTCTGCTGCTTTCTTTATTCGCATCGGTAGGATGTTGAGTACGATTTTTATTACCTTTTGCTAAAAGAGATAATAATTCTTCAGCACTGTGAATACTAATTATCTTGAGACCAGCAACTATAATGCCATATCTGCCATCGTCTCTTAAATGTAAAGGTCCAGAGTTATGTAAAAGATCTTGTACATTCTCATTATACACCTCTAAATATGTTACACCTAAATTAAATTCGCGATGTTCACCTCGTTTTTCTATTTGAGAAAATAATTCTGCCACTGTTCTATAGGTGATACCAGGATCTTCATTGCTACCAAGCATTGTGTGAGTTTTACCAGCACCTGTGGCTCCGTAAGCAAATACAGAACAATTATATCCATCCAATAGACTAGCAATTAAATCTTTAGTACTTCCTTCGAATACGTCGCTATTAGTTGAATCCATATTGAAGATTTTATCAAAAATGAACTGTAGTTCTTTATTTTGCTTCCTAAGGAAGTCTCTGCCCTTCTGAGCAATACCATGATAAAAAAATGGATTCTCCTCTTCTTTCGGGTCAAAGATTAACATTTTATCGTCAAAAACTTTAACTATGTTTCTACAATTGGCTTGCTGTTCACGCTCATTTTGCGGTCGGACTCTTACAATTACCTTAATACTCGTTTGCGATCCAGATTGGGCTTGTATGTTCAATGTTGTGCTTCCACTTGTGCTCGGTTTCGTTCCTTTTATCGTCAATGGCTTTTTCGTGCCCTTTATGGCGTTATTCGGCGAAAATACTTTCGCCAAGTGTTTTTTGTTAAGCATTATTGCAAGCTTCACAAATTCACATCCAAACAATCACCATTAACCGTTGACGGCAAGCAAGTTTTGAAATTCAAATCGGCGTGTGTATACTGCGATTGTCTCTTTGAAAGCAGGTTTGCCAGTCTAAAGGATATTAGGTACAGTAATGAGATCTACTCTTGCACACTTTTCTTACTCCCTAAGCTGGCGCGCACATCCCCACCATTTTACTGTGCTTCCAATCCATAGCGGATTCTGTCTCGTCAACCAATCAGAGCAAAGAAAATTTATATACCGACCATCACAGTCGGATTCAGATTGCATGCATAATTTGTCCAATTCATTTCAGTACCTCACAACTCCAATTTTAAATTCATACTTAAAATAAATTATTTCATTCGTAATACAATTTTTAATTTAATTGATCATTGTTATTATTACTATTACAACTATTATTATTATTATTATTATGTTCGTTATACATACATACACATGTACATTGTACGTAGATGTATACATACATTACAATTTCCTATTGGTGCACAAGCAAAAGAATTTTATATAACTTTTTTCATGACACATGTGTTGTACGTACATATGTATGTATACAAAATAAATATGTATGATG